AGTGGCCCGCGTACCGCCCGGCACGACACGGCCTGGCACGCCCATCGGATTTCGTGCCACGGGCCGTGCCACGGACAACATCCTGGTTTTCCAGGCACGGCCGTGGCCCGGCGTGCTGGCACGTTGGCCCGGCACGTGGCATGGTGTGAAGCACGGCACGCAGGCACGGCCCGCCAGGCATGGCATTCGTGCCGGCCGGCACAGCCCGCGTGCCTGTCGTTAAAAACGATAATATTACCGTTTTAAAATAGCCATTAACGGCTATAAACGACTATATTTTAGCCAAATTGCTCCCCAAAATTTCTATAAATACTCACCTCCATTCACTTCCCAAATCACAAAATCACAATCTCTTCTTCTAATCTCTTATATTCTCTAATAATCCTTAATCTCTTATATTCTCTAATAATTCTCTTAAATTCTCTAATTATTTTCTTAATATCGAAAAAAATTAAAAAGTTCGTAATCGTAATTAGTGGAACGTTGAAGCACGGTTGTAAGATCTAAACTAATCTTTAATTTATTATTGTTTTTATTGTTATTATTAGAATTATCTTGTTTAATTATTATTGTTGTTAATTGTTATTGTTATAATTGTTGTTATTAATTATTATTATTGTTACAATTATTGTTATAATTTATTATTGTTGTTATTGTTATTGTTATAATTGTTGTTATTAATTATTATTATTGTTATTTTTATTGTTAAAATTGTTGTTATTAATTATTATTATTGTTAATCAGTTTTTATTAAAAATCTAATTGTTAATTATGGCATCGAACAACCCATCATCTAGGGGGGAAAGGCCGACTTGGCCGTGGTAATAATTCTAGGGAATCGCCTAATACAACGAGCCCCCAAATTCCGAGTCCAACCAATGACCACGGTTACTTCCCTCCGGGCTAATTGAACCATTTAGGCACGATGGTACTTCCGGATCTTCTGGTTTTCAAACCTATAATATGTCGGGATTTCCACCACCAAACCAATTTCCACAATTCCCACAATTCGGTCAATTCCCACCTAATTATTTTGGTGATCAACAAAACTATTATTCTAGCCAAAGTAGCCAAGAAGATACCTAAATTGCCTCCGGTTCTACCCCTTCTACTACTACTAACCCAAACACACATCATGAATGGTTAACCGAAAGTGAGATGCTACTTTTGAAAAACCGAAAGAGTGATGTATGGCGTCATTTCCTCCTAAATAAAACCCCAAACACATGCAAAATGTAAAACATGTAATAGTGTATTCTCGGCACTATCCAAATCCGGGACGGGACACTTAAGTAGACACATGAGAACTTGTGCACAACCAGCTAGTGATCCAACCCAGCCAAAAATTTCCCAGTACCATCCACACGGCTTTACCTACAACTATGAGAGGGATAGGGATGAACTAGGGAATATGATAGTACACGCCGAACAACCTTTTCTTTTCTCGGAAAGTGACCCATTTAACACTTACATTAACAAAGCACTACAACCCCAACATAAAAGAATCTCTAGGAAAACCGTTCGTTCCGCCGCCATGAAAAACTTCCTAGAGTACAAATTGCGGTTACAAGCCGAATTGAGTAACCTTAACTGTAGAGTGTCTTTGACAGCCGATTCTTGGGATAATGGTTATAAATATCACTATTTATGTGTGACTTGCCATTGGGTAGATGATCAATGGTTGTTACAAAAAAGAATAATACATTTCAAAATGCTGGAATACCCACACATCGACATTAACATTGCTCACCATTTAATGGAAGCAATAGACGTATAAAACCTTCGAGAAAAAAATGATGTCTATGACTTTTGACAATGCAACCTCTATGACATACACAGCTAATCTTGTCAAACAAAACTTAACCGATGTAATATTAGACGGTGATGCTCTTCATACTAGATGTGTTTACCATGTACTTAACCTATGTATACAGGATGGAATTCGAGCAACTGGCCCATACTACAACAAAATCAGAGATGCTATTATGTCTATTAATAGCTCAAACATGAGATACCAAGAATGGAAGAGTTTTCTAAGACAACAAAAGATAAGGGCAATAAAAATCAAATCCGATTGCCCAACTAGGTGGAATTTCACCTATGACATGTTTACCAAGGCAATTGAGTACAAGAATCCGTTAACAATATTTTACAAACAAAAATTTCCACAAAATGCTTTATATGATGATGATTGGTATAACTGTGAAAGATATATGCAATTTTTACAGTTATTATATAACATGACGTATTGTTTTTCTTCTATTTACAATCCTTGTGCTGAAAACTTTTTTTCTAATGCATGTTTACTCGCCCAACTTTTCGCTGATCATCGCAGCCAAAGTGATTATGATCAGTATCTTCCAGCAATGGAAACAAAGTGGCGTAAATATTATAGTGAAATTCCTTTGATTTATATTTTTGCATCCATATTAGATCCTAGGCAAAAGTATGAAAACACATTTATGTTAGTTGACATCTATTTTCAATGCATGAATCTTGACGATGATGTAGAAACCTATAAGACTCATGTGAAGGATCAGTTTTTTGCTTTATATAGAGTCTATGTAATCAAATATGGCACCATTCCTCGCTCAGGCCCTTCCTAGCCATCCAAAAACGTAAGTAAGAAGGCCAAATATTTATTTTCACAAGCTAATATGGCACCATTCCTCGCTCAGGCCCTTCCTAGCCATCCAAAAACGTAAGTAAGAAGGCCAAACATTTATTTTCACAAGCTACTAACTTGATTTCAAGGTTTTCAGGTGATTCATCAATCAGGAGAACGCAAAGCGACGTCTCGGAGTTGCAGATGTACCTGACTTCACCAAAGGCATGGACGACGATGAGATAAACAACCTCGACCTCCTTGCATGGTGGAAACAACAAAGCGGGAAGCATCCAACTTTGGCGGCAATGGCACGTGACATTCTTGGTATCCAAGTCTCCTCTGTTGCCTCCGGAGGAGCTTTTAGCGTATCCAGAAGGGTTCTGGACGATAGAAGAACAAGTCTAAAACCCGAAACACTAGAAATGTGCGTGTGTTTCAAAGATTGGTTGGATGCGGAAAATCGCTCACAGGACCGTTCTTACGAGGACAACGACAACGATGAAGGAACCTCCGCTTCCGACCGTTCGGGTTCGGCTAGTTCCCAATCTATCCAACTAGCCGATGAAGCCGAAGTCTAAGCCGAAGACGAAGACGAGCAACAAGAAGAAGAAGAATAGACAATTTTTGTATATTGTACGCTTTTAATCATTATCGTTTATCAATATTATCATTATCCAATTTTTGTTTAATACCATCATCGTACGATTTTTTTCATTGTTATCATTGTACAATTTTCTCAACTCAAGTAATAATAATATGAAGTATGCATTATTCACATCCAAAGTCCAATTTGCCTTTTTTCCCCGTTTTGTTATAATTTGTAAATTAATATAACAAAAAGAAAATTATACCAATTAATAATACAAAAAAATATTTAATAAATCATAAACATTAAATTTTAAAGTAATAGTATAAACTAAACATATAAATATAAATATTGAATATAAAAAATAATAAAACATAAATGTTCAACTTAATTTATTTTATAACTTATAATTTTATAACTTATAATTTATAAGTTATAAGTTATAATTATAATTTTATAACTAATAAGTTATAATTATAATTTTATAACTTATAAGTTATAAACTTATAAATTTATAACTTATAAAAGTTATAAGTTATAAGTTATAATTATAATTTTATAAATTATAGGTTATAAAATTATAACTTATAAGTTATAATTATAATTTTATAATTTATAAGTTATTAACCATTAACAAAAAATAAATAAATAATATAAAAAAAAAATTATACAAGGCCAGCCCGCCAGGCCAGCACGAAGGCCGGCATGGCACGAGCCCGCCAGGCACGAGGGCCGTGCCAGGCCGTGGGCTGGCCTTTGAAATTGGCCGGCACGGCACGGCACGACGGCACGAAAACCTGGGCACGCCGGTGAACGTGGCCCGCCAGGCACGGCCTGTGGCGGCCCGGCACAACACGATGCCCAGGATAGCCAAAAGGAGTGTAATCGATTCATTTTGTAAAATGTAGACTAACATCCGATCCGATACTCTTTGCGTTTTCCCACATTTAAATGTTATGCTAATTACATTTTACATGAATAAGATTATGAATAAGGCACAATTTATTCTAAAATAAAAATGGAAACATTGCTGGAATAAAAAATAAATATATTTCAGGGTTAATTTGTCCAAAATTTATCATATAAATATAAATAAAAATACTTCAAATGTGAAAGGGTGTAAAATTACTTACTTTCATTACTTTAAACTAGTTTTCTTTTAGGGGGCGTTTGGTTTGCGGAATATAGGTATGAGGTATGGGTTTAGAATGACTAAAACTCATACCATATGTTTGGTTGTCAAAAATATGAATTTTAAACCCATACCTTAAACTCATGAGGTATGGGGTTTAGAAACCTTTGGGAGGAGGTGGGTTTGGCTCATTCCATTCCCTTAGGTATCAAATACATGATATTAAGGGATGAGATTCCATTTCAGAGTTCAACCAAACACATGGTATTAAGTATCAAATTCTAACCCGATACCACCTTAACCCTATTCCTGCTTCCAGACCCATACCATTGTGCAAACCAAACGCCCCCTTATAGTGTTAATTAACTTTAAATCTAAATTTCACCTGTCTTCTTCAATTATTGTTTAATTTTACAGTATAACCCATCTTCCTTTCTTTTAGAGAACTCACCCAACAATCTTTTACGAAGTCCATATAACATAAGTATTGCAAAAACCATTATCATTATACTCCAATACTCCATATGTGATTAGAATTTCGCACAAAAGTCAATAAGCCAATAGTAAGTGAACTGGGTGACTTTCTCCTTACAAAGACAGCTACCATTGCAACAAATCTTAAAATTATATCCAACAAAAAAAAGCTATGAAAAAAGCTATGTAAACAATATACATACTACAATACAAAGCTACAAAACCTTTATTAGAGAATGAAGAGATCGAATGCTGAGGTTTTTCTTCATCGTTCCCACGGTACAAAACCAAAAGATAGCTTCACTTAGCCATAAAACAAAAATAATTCAGAATTTTACTTGAAAATCTGTTAAACCTGAAGGAACTATAAAAGCGAGTAATCCTCTCATCAGTTACAATAATAAACCACAACCAGGATTCACAGTTCAGAGCAATTTCAAGGGACATCCTTCAGATATCATGAAATGACCCTTGACCATATTACAATCCATCATAATACACATTATTTTCTTGCCATATTGTAGCCACGTCGAAGGAATAGACGCAGAATGAGTTCACTTGGTCCACCAATGAAGGAAATCCTTGCGCCTGCTAATCTTCTTCTGTAGCTGCAAAAGTCCATAAAGCAAGGCCTCAGCTGTTGGTGGACATCCAGGGACATAGATATCCACTGGAACAATCCGGTCACAACCTCGGACAACAGCATATGAATAGTGGTAGTATCCACCTCCATTTGCACAGCTTCCCATAGATATAACCCACCTTGGCTCAGGCATCTGGTCATAAACCCTGAAATTATATGAATATACAGATGTTAGGACATTCTTCAAGAACACAAGTTGTCAGAACTCGCACGAGGGGAACTCTAGCCTCTAGTCAGTACTCAGTAACCAATTCAATATAGAAAATTCTAGTCATCCAATTTAACTCAACTCTTCACCAAAAGCCAAAGGAGTAACATGATGGAAGCACAGAACAAAGGAAAGAACAGTAAAAGAGAGCGGATACTATGCCAATTGCCAAAACTAGAATTTTGGCAATGGTGGATCTCAATAATCAGACTATATTTCCTTAAATCTATGGCATCTATGTATAGAATTCCTCCACACAAATTTCACAGAAAATGTGGCTTCCATCACAAATATGCAGGGTTAGAACTACCAATCTCCATCACAATCATTGACAATTAATTTTAAACACCAAAGCATATTAAGCTTTCAGCTACTATCCCAAACATGCACCCAAAGACCCTGAAGCAAACTTCAATCTCAAAGAAAGAGCAGTCAGAAAATTAAAGATTACGTCAATAACAGTAAACTACTGAAGGGTGAAAGAACATGGCAGAGGACAACAAAAGAATGCCCTTTACTAGATGAAACTCACGAAAGTAGGACAGGAAAAAAAAATCCACAAGATTTTGCAGCGTTATAGTTAAGCGGAAGGCATGTTAGGATAAATAACAAGCTGTGAGTGACTTGGGGGGCTTACTGATCTTTACCCAACTAGTCTACTTTCAGGAAATTTTTAGAAAGGAAGTTACAATCTCTTAATCCAGCTTCTGACCTGCCTCACTTCCTTGATTAACCTTATTCAGCGCTATCACCAACTAGTTCAGAATTACTTGTGTGTTTAGGCAAGTAACCTATCATTATCAACCCTCAAACCCAGCTCAGACTACACAACCTACTGAGTTCTTTCAAGAAAACTACACACTACCATTACTACAAGCCAAAGGAACACTAAACACTTCCTCAATCATAAATAAGACTAACTTATAAGTTTCACCATAAAGCTCCCTCCAGAAGAGAGAGAAATCATTCTGGCTCGGCAACAATGACACTCAACTAGCATCAATTACAACATAGAGGCTTTTCTGCTTTGTATCATGCACTAGTGACACTTAACTAGTTCCAAAACAAATCCAGTTTAGAAATCACATTCACACACGCACACAACCACATATAGAGTGGGCAAAAATGGAAATGGCACTATAGGAAAGCACGAGGAGTGTGATACAAAATCAAGCCCTGGATGGAAAATATACAGGTTATGAAGGGGAAATGAATATGGCAAGGGACTAGTGTTTAAAAAGGCACGCCTAGACAATTAGGGTGGGATGCATTTTTTGCTCTAAAAGAGGCGCATTCAAAGAGGCACACATAAGCAAGGATTAATATTGTGTGCTCACTTCAAAGAGGCACACCGAAGCGCACCCAAGGTATGCAGCAGGACCCTCTTCACCTCATTGCGGCATTGCGCCTTGAGCATAACTTGTTCCGCTACCTACAGGCTATACACAATATAAAATTACCCTCCCTCCATAGGACCACAAATAATTGCAACCATGTTCTGGACTGCTTTAAGCCTTAAAGCCATGCAAAAATTCTCACTTCTTAAAGTTAATCACCATAATAATGTAAATTGCAATTTCAATCACCATTGTCCAAACAACAAAGGAGTCCACAATAAACAAAGAAATTGGTATTTATAAAAGGGAAACATCCAAGTAAGATATCTATTGCTCGAATATACAGTAACAATAAAGGCAACATGCCAATGTATTCCCATATAAAGCAACAACTTATGATACATCAACATAAATATTTTCTCCCTTGCAATGCACTAATCTAAAACTCCAAATCACTTTCTTTCATAAGCAGGCTAGTCCATCAAAATCATATCATCCAATTCATCAAAGCACCACAATTTGGCAATTATTTTCACTTGACTCCATGAACGATCAGCTCATATCCAAAAACACGATCCTTGTCTCGATTTCATAACCATTAACAACAGATATAATCAACAACCCACCCCATAATATATCCCAATCACACAAATGATCATTGAACACCGCCATCTCCTCCTCAATTCCCCCTAATTCTCCAAAATTCACAAACTTGATTGCACAAAGAAATTTTCATGATCTTATTCGAATTCTCATGATACCCAATTGAAAAAATATCCCCAAAAACAACGCTGACTCTCTAGATTCTCTAAGACAACCCTAAAAATCCCAAACAAAATCCAAACCCTAAAACCCCAATACAAAACCAACCACCCCCACAAAAAATCAAATAAATCATTCAAAAAAAACCCTAAACACAATCAAAATCAAACCCAAAAGAAAAGAAGGGGGCATACTTGCGAAGAGCAGGAGCCATCTTATTAGTAAGAGTACCAGCAACAATCATACAATCAGATTGACGAGGACTAGGCCTAAAGATAATCCCAAAGCGATCCAGATCGTAACGAGCAGCACCAGTATGCATCATCTCAACAGCACAACAAGCAAGCCCAAAAGTCATGGGCCAAATGGACCCACGACGGGCCCAGTTCATGAGGTCATCAACCTTTGAGATGACGTACTCCGCCGCCTTGGGGAGGGCGGGAGGTGGGGCTCTGGCGTAGGTGGTGGGTTGAGTGGTGGATGAGGCGGAGGAGAGAGAAGGGTGGGTGGTGTGGAAGGCGGAAGAGAAATGGGGGAGGGTTTTAAGGGTGGTTGTTGTGCGGGTTGATGCGGCTCGAGCTAGGAGCGCCATTGATGAAGGAGGAGAGAGAAAGAGAGACACAGAGATGGGGAAATGGGGGAGGAGAGAGAAAGTGAGTTGTTTAAATTAGGAGATGGGGAAATTGGGTCGGTTTATTTGTTTTCCCTGGAGAATGGGAAAAACTCAGGCTACTGGAAACTTGGATTATCAAGTGAAAAAAAAAAAAAAAAAAAATTAAAATTGTATACTACTCGTATGTACTTCTGCAGTTCTGCTAATACACTACATATATTTCTCGTCATGTCTTACAAAAAAAATTTAAATTTAAAACGTAGTAAGTTAGTAGAATAGGTATTAATAAGTTGTATTTCGTAATAAGTTTAGCCTAATTCAAGGCCTAGCGTTTGATTCGTAGGGTGGTATGAAATTATAGATTTGGAATCAGGAATGGGGTTAAGGTGGTATTGAGTTAGAACTTAATACTTAATACCATATATTTAATTCAATTCTGGAATGAAATCTTTCACTATTCCCTCCTTGATACCTAAGGGAATGAAATGGGCCAAACCCACCTCCTCTCAAGGTTTCTAAACCCCATACCTATTCCAATTAATAATAATTAAAAAAAAAAAATAGCACTTAGTTGAACAGATAGTAGTTGATGTTTGTTCATTTACAAGTTCAAAGCGAATAGATTCCAAGTAGTGACATTATAAATGAAAATTACACCCTTAAAGATGCATTTTAATCACCTAATTTTCACGTTTTAATGTAATTGTGAATTAAACTTGATTATCTCGTACGGAAGCTGCCATATTAGAGTATGGAAAGATCACACAATACTATGACATCTAACCATATGCATCATCAAAGTAGTTGAATATACTAATCTTCATAAACCGCTCCAACAGCCACAAAAATATATCGATGTAAAGCTTTACTAGCCACAAGAATCAACAACATATGCTTGAACAGGTGGATCTCTCTTGTTCATCCTACGTACTTACGCATGCATGTTGACCCAAAATCTTTGATTACTTTAATACGAGTAGAAGAAAACCACAAAAAGCTAAAGAAAACAAAAGAGGTATAGAAGACATTAACTGAGAAAGTACAATAGAGTAATAATTATCACAAACTCTACAAGTTTAGAAAAGAAAAACATTAGTACTTTCAATATCATTATACAACAGCAAATTTAGGAACAAAAGGCATAACAAAAGAATTGGTTAGCTGGTAAAATGACTATAATAACAGTAATAACATTTTGCAGAAATCCTAAAACGCGCTAATAATTCAATAATAACAATAATACAAAGGGCGGATGGTATTGATGTGAATGATGAACCTTAAGAGCTCCATAATAGCGAAATCTGCAGTTGAAGTTCGATCTCATGTCCACAAGCATCATCACTGCCAAAAGAGACATTCTTGTCGTATCTACTGTTAAAAAAACTTTCTTGTAACTTGTAACTTTTTCTTTTCATCTGACCTAACAGCAGAGGAAAACCATTTCGGGCAATCCTGCTTCTAACATACTGCAATCTATAGAATTCTTCATTCTGGGATTGTTCGTGATCACCATAAAAAAATCTTCTAGTTCAAGATGAACAACTTTATTTTGCAGAAGCACATTGCGCTCCAAGAATATCTCTAGGCATAATACATATACAGGCTGTTAGCAGCAGCACATGCAATTGAGTTTTCTGTGGGGTGCCATGCTAAATGAAGCAACTTCATGTTGAAATCAAAAGCATTTCCATTTGCATCACTTCCAGGACTCTCCGATCCTAACCAAAGAGAAGCAAAGCATACATTATTAGTAAACAGCACTTTCACAGGACAAGCTGTACAATTGTAATTTGAAAGGGCTTGATTTAAATCTCTGCAGCCCAGAACTGTCGCTTTTTACAAAAAGAACAAGAAAAGAACGTTCCGGCATATCATCGCGCGATCTATTGACAGCAGACAATGAATGATATTCAAACCAGGGAAGGAATATTGACCATATCCATCTAGTGTCTAGACTGTCTACATCCCCTGAAACTAATTTTAACCTTGATAAAAGTGAGCACATCGAAAGTTCTTTTTAGGGACGACCATGATCTTAGACGCATCAAGCGTGTTAATCCAGCTCGTATAATGAATGGGCTGAGCTTGAACTCACTAACGTTTGGTTCAACAGATTGTGATGCTATATAAACTTCTAAACCTTTTGTCCTGAACTTCCAATATAACTAATACAATTGGGGGGAGGGGAGGGGGGATTTTTCTAGAAAACCAACATTACTAAAAACAATTTTTTTTTTTTTGGGGGGGGGGGGTCTTTCTAGAAAACCACAGATGTTCTCAAGGGGGAAGGTAACTTTTACTGGACAATCATGTAACTATTATCTCAGAATAGAGGGAGTATGAGCTTAGTTTGAGCTTCATAGTCACATAGACATAGTTCCCAATTTAGAGTTCCATGGAGTTGTGTGAAAAAATGCAGCACCACTTTAGAGGCACTATAAATACTTCTGAAGAAATCTTAATTTTAATCCGTTTCACGAGATCATGGTGTCTGCTTATTTGCTTAAATAAAGGTTATCTTCTAAGTCAGGTACACTGAAGGTCTACATAAAGTCTTCACAAATATCTCCTGTAACTAAATAGTAGCATGTGACAATTATACTCAACGTGTGTGTCTAAATGATAACACATTTAAACTACATAGCACAAAAAAGTGTCAAATAAGTAGAGAACTGTCTTTGACAATGGTTGTATTCACCATCTCTGCTAAATGAGACCAACAAACTACAGAGTGGTTGTATCAACCACCGCTACTAAGTGAGACTTCAAGCCACTGAGAAATAGCTATAACCAACAGATTTTCACAAATTATTTCAGCAAAATTGATACTTTCAATCTAGAGTTTCCAGGAACAGTATATGCCAATACATACCTTGCCTCGCACCACGTGTAAAGGTGCCAGTTCTTGAGGGTCTATGGTTTGTACTGGCTGGAAGTTGCTTCCTGAAAATAACAAAATTTACCCAGTGAGAGAAATCCAACATGAACAGCAACATAAAAGAAGAGATAGACTTGGCAATTGAAGCAAATTGCAGAAGTTTATTCATTGTGTCTGAAAAGAACATGGTGAAAATATTTTTAGCAATCAGACTTTTACCTCATGGGGTTTTTGCTGGCTTCCAAGGTTGAGGCTTCTGTGCTGCCCGAAGAGCAGCCAAAGACACGAAACAAATTGCTGATAGTGGAGAATATTTTTAGACATCAAAATGGCAGCAATACAATAAAATATTAAAATGAAGGGTAGTACGCCATGCAATGAAATTGATCACCTGTAAGAACCAGTTGCTGCTCGCAATCCGTCTCCACTCAGACAGCACTCAAATTTGTCAAAAATGGAGTCATTTTCATACAAATCACAGAGCTGACAACATAAACAAATTGAACCCAACAAGATTAGCAAACTAATTAAAGGCAGACAAATAGGAAGTTTAACATGTTTGACTAACACAAGAAATTGAACAAGACTGATACAAGAACTAACCCTTGGTCTCAAATGTTCATGAACCTGGAAAGTTGCAACAGGCCCAGAATCCATATTTATATCCCATAGCTGAAAAAAAAAAAAAGGATAGATGAAAGTCTTAAGCTAATAAAATCTGTTCAGGGTTGATCATTAAACTAATCTTTTTACTTCTATTATTAGGTAAAAAAAGAGTAATATATATTTGAAACAAAGTAATGTATCTAAAGAGGAGCAGGAAACAGAAATCCTTCCAAAAAAAATAATATTAACGCTACCTCCATTAAATATATTAGTTGCAACTTTGGGGTATTATTTGTGAGATATAAAATATTCCAAAATTGCAACTAATATTTAACGGAGGTAGTAATAAAAATTACAAAAAAAAAAAAAAAAAAAAAAAAGAAAAAAAAAAAAAAAAAAAGAGGTGGACCAAATGTGCAACACATCAGTCAAAGTGATTCCAAGAAAAATCCCTCCTTAATCTATACAGAAGTAGTTAAAGAAACTCAACCCCATATTCTGCTTTTGCTATCACCAAAAACCACAAAATAGCAAGAAAACCATTATGAACCAATAATATATGCTACTTACCCTCAAAACCAAACACAAATCAGACGAAGGAGATACACTAAAAAGTTCATCAATGCCACTTCTTTCATAGATCATAGCTTCATGGTCAATAACCTTCAAAGGCATTTGATAGCTTTATAATTTTTTTGGTGTCCTAGCTTCAATTGAGAAGAGATCAAAAGATTATTCTACCTTATTCATGCTCCCTTGGCTAATCTATGCCTCATAAGATACCCTAATCTGATAGATATCACATATAAAAGTGATGCACACATGGTTGTTAGGATTCTGGTCCAGATCTTATGATCCTATATTCTACAATCCACAAACAAGTCACTGATCCGGATCTTAATGTTTGTAGGATTGGTAAAAACTTATAGTGGTCGGATCTTAATACGACTTCACGATCTTCGGATCCAACATACAATGATAACTTATGAGTTAAGACAGTAAACCATTTTTACATTTTTCTGTAAATGTATAGTTCATATTCACATATCATTAGATTTATTATTATATTATTAGCTGGAAAAAAGACATTCGAACCAGTTTTACTGATTTGATACAACCCTCCACCTCACCCCCCCCCCCCACCCCCACCCCCGGATCCAAAGATAAAATTTGGATCTAACCCTGGGTGAGAGTCTAATTACTCTAATATATAAGACTACAAATGAAAAAAAAAAATTGATACTTCATATATTATAAGAGTGGCATAGACAAAGTCAGGATTTTCAGATTAAGACAAAGTCAAGATTTCAGATGAAGACAGAGTAGGCTCATTGTTTTCCTTCAAAAATACAGCATTGAGCTTATATACCAGCCCTGGCAACTGAGAAAGACTATCATCCTTCTACTTCATTCTGTTAGCAACTAATCCTTCAAAAAACCCTACTTTGTACATGTTACAAATTTCCACAAAAGTAGCAAATAACATTTAATTTGGGAGCGAGGTCTCACATTACACTGGCTTATTAATTATGTACTTTACAAAAATTCTCACCAGATTCACACAAAGATTTTGCCTGAGAATTTTATAACATGGTTGGTACTTTAATTGTATGATATAAATTAAT